CTATGGTGAGCCATGCTAGATTGTAAAGCTGCAGGTGCTCATGGCCCAGGAAAGTGAAAAGCCCAAGTAGTCTAGTTCCTGGAGGAGAGGGGCACTTTGGAATAAGAGAGGAGTAGTTGGAATTGCTTAAGAAGGAAAGTAGTACAAAGGGATTTGCCCAATTAAAAGCTTTTTGCCCCCATTTACAGTCTTAAGAATTTGTCGATTAATTAAAACACCAAGAATAAACTTAGAGAAAGAACTTAATTATTATGTAAATTAAGTTTAAAAATACAAAACTCTTTATGTAGCTTTTATTACAAAGTCATTTTAAGTTAAAATAAACATTTTGAAGCTCACTTATTTCAGAAAAGAAGTAGCAACAAACATCTGTACACTTAGTATTCAAAGCACTGTTGTATATTAGCGATGAAATCAGGATTGATTTGGCATTGGAGAGGTCCAGTTATTCATGCTGTGGTTCTATCATGGGTCCCTCCCAGGTGGCCTTTAAAAAAAAATTATATTGATTTCAGAGAGGAAGGCAGAGGGAGAGAGAGTTAAAAACATCAGTGATGAAAGAGAATCATTGATCGGCTGTTTCTTGCATGTGCCCTCCTGGGGATGGAGCCCAAAGCCCAGGCATGTGGTCCCTGACTGGGAATTGAATTATGACCTCCTGGTTCACAAGTGATGCTCAACCAGAAGGGCCCTGCTGGCTTTTTAATTAGATGATTAGGGTCATGAAGAGCATTAACATAGGCATACATTCCCTTCACTCACTTTTACAATGGCATATAATTGTTGGATTTTATTTGGCTTGACTGTTTTTTATTGTAAACTAGAGGCCCGGTGCATGAAATTTTGTGCACTTGGGGTTTGGGGTGTGTGTGTGTGTGTGTGTGTGTGTGTGTGTGTGTGTGTGTGTGTTGGGTGTCCCATAGCCAAGCCTGTGTCCTCTGGCAGTCTGGGAGCCCTCGGGGGATGTCCCATTGCTGTGGAGGCTGGAGAGGCTCCCGCCACTGCTGCTGAGTGGCGCTTTCCCTGATCACCAGGGGGCAGCTCCTGCATTGAGCTGCCCCCTGGTGGATAGTGCATGTCATAACAACTGGTCATTCCGCTGTTGGGCTGAAATTGGCTCTGTAACATCCTCTAACAGCAGCAAGCGAACCTTGTAGGAGCATCTGCCCCCCCTGGTGGTCAGTGCACATTGTAGCGACTGGTCGACTGCCCCCGGTGATCAGTGAATGTTATAGCGACTGGTCAACTGGTTGACTGACTGCCCCCTGGTGGTCAGTGCACATCATAGTGAGCGGTTGAGTGGCCTTAGCATAGCATTAGCATGTTACAATTTGGTTGAATGGCTGACCTGACACTTAGCATATTAGGCTTTTATTATATAGGATGCTCCTGATGTGCATGGCACAGTGCCACAGTAGATGCTTAGTCATGATGGTATGGACAGGGGGAAATAAACTATTAGTATCTAGAATTTTGAAAGTCTGCCTTGCTCTTTTGTCCTTTAGTTCCATAAAATAAGCACGGATTATTGTAATCCTCCCCAACCCTCCAAATCTTTATTATAGCTAGGCCCTTCTAAGGCTTTGGCTCCAGAATCCACTATGTTGTACCAGGTTAGACTGTAAAATTGCATGTGATCATGGCCCAGGAAACTGAAAACCCAAGGAGCTAGAAACACTTAAGAAGGAAAGTAGTACAGCCGAAACCGGTTTGGCTCAGTGGATAGAAAGGTCCCAGGTTTGATTCCGGTCAAGGGCATGTACCTTGGTTGCGGGCACATACCCAGTGGGGGTTGTGCAAGAGGCAGCTGGTCGATGTTTCTAACTCTCTATCCCTCAATTCCTTTCTGTATAAAATCAATTTTATATATATATATATATATATATATATATATATATATATATATATATATATTATTATTATTATTATTATTTTTTTTTTTAAAGAAGAAGAAGAAGGAAAGTAGTACAAGCAAAGGAGATAATCCAAGATGAGAAGACCTTCCAAAGCTCAGAACAGTTTTGTTCTGGGGTGCATCCTGACCACTCTTGATTAAGTCCAGGGCCCCCTGTGCCAAATGTTCTTTTCTGCTCTCTTTTCCCAGATTGGTTCATTCAACAAATATTAAGTATTCCTCTATACCAGGCTTGTGCCTCTCTTCAGAAGCCTTTTCAGTATCGTGTGTGTGTGTGTGTGTGTGTGTGTGTGTGTGTGTATAATTGATTTTTTGTTTTTACAAAGAGGAACGGAGAGGGATAGAGAGTTAGAAACATTGATGAGAAAGAAACGTCGATCCCAGATCAGCTGTCTCCTGCACACTCCCTACTGAGTATGTGCCCGCAACCAAGGTACATGCCCTTGACCAGAATCGAACCTGGGACCCTTGAGTCCACAGGCCGACTCTGTATCCACTGAGCCGAACCAGTTAGGGCATCAGTATTGTTTTAAAGGTCCCTGGGTCCAGGTTAAGAATCACTGCACTGGATCAAAAGCATTTCCAACGGTGACCACTTAAGCTTGTAAGAAATAAGTATAGCCCCTCCTGAGCAACTATACATGTGTAAAAATATACAGATGCAAAAGAAGTTGTTGGAGTGATTAATGTTAAGGTATTAAGAAACCAGTTGGCCCTTGTAGCCAAGAGGGTAACAATATACTTTGGCCATAAACTTTCATTCCTGCCGAGACCGGTTTGGCTCAATGGATATAGTGTTGGCTTGGGGACTGAGGGGTCCCAGGTTCGATTCTGGTCAAGGGCATGTACCTTGGTTGCAGGCATATCCCCAGTAGGGGGTGTGCAAGAGGCAGCTGATCGATGACTCTCTCTCATCGATGTTTCTATCTCTCTCCCTTCCTCTCTGTACAAAATCAATAAAACATATTAAAACAAACAAACAAACAAACAAAAAAAACTTTCATTCCTGTCTTTTTTTTCCTGCATCTTTAAAAGAGTATTAAACTTTTTTCAACAGCCTTTTCTCCATAAATGTTGCTTAATAAGCAGCCTTAAATTTCCATACACCTACAGAAAGTTTCAGTTGCTATTTACTGTTACTGGAAAACTCCTTTGTTTGTTATAGCCCATAGAATAATGAATGAGATCCTGGAAATAAGGCCTGAAAAAACACATTCTCAGCAACACAGTGATACTTTAGTGCCATTATTGTAATGACTTTTTTAATTTGGTGAATATTCCTTATAATTTCCCAAAGGATAGCTTTGAGGACATTGTTTACTTAGTTTTTCACATTTGTTCTTTCAAGTAATTAAGAACTGAGATAATATAGTTCTACAGAGAAACATTTTGATATAGTCATAAAAATCTCAAGAGTTGGAAGAATAAGCTACCTGGTGGTGGAATTATTTCCTCAATATCCTAGAAAAATTGTTTTCTAAACTACATGAACCTCTCATTTATCCGGTAGCTCAGTAAGTCCTGAGAAGCTTAAATGATTTCTTACAATAAGAGTTAAAATATGACTCTGTAGAGTTCTTTGGGACCATAATAAAATCTGTTTCTATTTCATACTGATAAGTTCTTTTAAAAAAAAATTAACATATTTTATTGATTTTTTTTTTTTTACAGAGAGGAAAGGAAAGGGATAGAGAGTTAGAAACACCGATGAGAGAGAAACATCTATCAGCTGCCTCCTACACAACCCTTACTGGGGATGTGCCTGCAACCAAGGTACATGCCTTTGACCGGAATCGAACCTGGGACCTTTCAGTCTGTAGGCTGACACTCTATCCACTGAGCCAAACCGGTTTTGGCTGCAAAGTTCTTAACATCATGATTTTTCTCCAGCTAATTTTTTCTTTTTAAATATATCTTCATTGGCCGAAGCCGGTTTGGCTCAGTGGTAGAGCGTCCATCTGCGGACTGAAAGGTCCCAGGTTCGATTCCTGTCAAGGGCATGTGTCTTGGTTGCGGGCACATCCCCGGTGGGGGGTGTGCAAGAGGCAGCTGGTCGATGTTTTTCTCTCATCAATGTTTCTAGCTCTCTATATCTCTCCCTTCCTCTGTTAAAAATCAAAATATATATATATATAAAAAATATATATATATATATATATATATATATTTATCTTCATTGATTTCAGAGAGGAAGGGGGAGAGAGATAGAAACATGATGAGAGAATCATTGATCTGACACCCACCCCCTGCATGCCCCCCTACTGGGGATTGAGCCTGCAACCGGAGCATGTTCCCTTGGCCAGAATTGAACCTGGGATCCTTCAATCACAGTCCGATGCTCTATCTACTGAGCCAAACTGGCGAGGACCAGCTAATTATTTCTTTTCTTTTGCTTTTTGGAATGGTTTGGTTTTGAGATGTTTTGTTGGCTTATTTATATCCCTTTTGAGATGTATTAACACACAAAATGTGTCTTTTGGAGGAGAGGGTTTTCTTTTAAAGCCAGCCTTTAGTAAGATTTGTCACATTGTTTGGACTATACCCTATAAGTTAATTTATCTCAGTGATGCCACACTATTTCTTTTGAGAAGTTTTTTAATATGTCTAATATTCTGCTCATACCTAGTTATTTGTAAATTTGTCTTAGATATAAGCAAGCTATAGGATTGTATATTGTTTTTAAATTTTTTCTGGTCCATCAGTGTTTGTGAATTTTAATAGTAAATTCACTGTCTTTTTGAACCTGACATAATATAGAAAATTAATAGTCTTTGCTATAAACACATCTATGTTGCTAGGAACTTTTTCCCCCCAGCTTTGTTCAGATTCAGACAGGCTTTTCCTTGTCAGTTTATTCTTAAGTACAAAAATGATTACTGTTCTCACTTATTGGTAGATAGAATTGATCTCCTTTTTTTTGTTGTTGTTGTTGGCACCAAGTTTAATACTTGTTTATGAAATTCTATAATTTGAAAGTCCATAAACAAAGAAGCATATATATTCTATGGAGTACTATGGTTATTAATGAATTTTTGAAAAAAATGTATTTTCTGTTTAATGTGTCTCTTTTTTTTTTCCTTCTTAGAGAATGGATCTTGGAGAATGTCTGAAAGTCCATGACCTGGCTTTAAGAGCAGATTATGAAATTGCATCCAAAGAACAAGATTTTTTCTTTGAGCTTGATGTATGTGATTTTATTTTAATGAGTTACATTATCTGTAACAATATAAAATTTTGAATATGGATTTTTCTCTTAATAGGGGAAGGCTCTTAGCAAATTATCTTCTTTGTGGCTATATGAAGGGTAGTACTAAACTGGAGATCATGTACTACTTCCTAACAGTTTTAGAAAATATAAAACTGGATATTTTAAGAAAATATGTAAAGTAATATAATTTATATTCAGGATGTCTCAAAAAATTTGTGTATGCACACAGCTGATAGCTCAGTTTTGAAAATGAAATGTTTATTTTTTTTGTTTTTGTTAATATATTTTTATTGATTTCAGAGATAAAGAGGGGAGGAGGGAGGGAGAGAGAGAGAAAGAGAGAGAGAGAGAGGGACAGAAATATCAATGATGAGAGAGAATCATTGATTGGCTGCCTCCCCGAAGGTCCCACATTGGGGATCTAGCCTGTAACCCAGGCATGCACCCCAAATGGGAATCAAACCATGGCCTCCTGGTTCATAGGTTGACTCTCGACTACTGAGCCACATCAACTGGGCTGTTTGTTTATTTAATTTTGTTTTTGTTAATCCTCACCTGAGGAAATTTTTCCACTGAATTTTACTGGGGATTGAGTCTTTATCAGAATCATACCTGGGACCCTTTCAGTCCATGGGTTGATGCTCCAACCACTGAGCAAACCAGCTAGGGCAAAAATTAAATGTATTTTAATAAACCCTGCCTTTATTATATTCAAAGTGTGTTTAAACATTTTTTTTTAGTATACTCTATATTTTTCTGAAAATTAAGCATATTTTCCTCAATAAAGTAGTAGTAATTAAGGAAGATATCAATTTAAAAAAATATAAACCAATTTCTAGTGCATGTAAGTCTTTTTAATAATCTATTGGATTTTTATATTCATATTTTTTATTATTTTTTAAAATTGTTATTGATTTCAGAGAGGAAAGAAGAGATAGACAGATACATCAGTGGTGAGAGACAAATCATTGATTGGCTGCCTGTTTTTTTTTTTTTTAATGTATATATTTTACTGATTTTTCACAGAGAGGAAGAGAGAGAGAGAGATAGAAACATCAATCAGCTGCCTCTTGCACACCACCCACTGGGGTCGTGCCCACAACCAAGGTACATGCCCTCGACTGGAATCGAACCTGGGACCTTTCAGTCCGAAGTCCGATGCTCTATTCCGCCTTGGGCGATTGGCTGCCTCTTGCATTTCCCACAATGGGGATTGAGCTTGCAATCCAGGCATGTTCCCTGACCAGAATCAAACCAGGTCAATACTCAACCACTGAGCCATGCTGGCTGAGCAATATTCATATTTTTGTACTGTAAATATACACATAGAGAGGGAGAGTATTAAGGACAATGTTTTTTAATGTAAAACAAGAATTATTACAGGAGATACCATTTAGAAATCTGAATGGCTCAAAATCTCTCTATACTGTGTGTGTGTGTTCTTTAAATATTTTTTCTTTTTTAAAATTATGGAACAGTTCATGAATTTGGGTGTCATCCTTGAACCATGAGTCATGCTAATCTCTGTGTAGTTCTAGTTTTAGTATATGTGAGCACTTTTTTAAAACATGAGAATTGTATTAAAATGGGGAAACTTTTTTTTATATTTACATAAAATATACCAATCAGCATTAGATAAAACATACTGATAAGCATAAATCTTATGCTACCTTTTGTAAGTGAGGATATTGGCATTTTATTTGGTTTGGGTTATGATTTATACACATGGCATAAAATACAGCAGAAATTTTCTATCTGTAAGGGTGTGAAAATTTAGGTTATTTTCAGTCTTTTTCTATTATAGTATGATAATGCATTTTTACTTATCAAGTATATAGAGTAAGTTTCTAGAATAGAATAACTGAGTCAGAGAGTAATTTTGCCAAGTTGCTTTCAGTATAATTATCAATTTATACTCCCACCAATAGTATATGAGATTATCTACTTCACATCTGGCCACATAGTGTGTTTTCTAGATTTATTTGCAACTTTGATAGATGAAATGTGTAATATAAGTGTAGTTTTAACCTGCATTTCTCTTAAGAGTGAGTTTGAACATATTTCATATATTTAAGATCTGTTTATATTTTCTTTTTTAGTGCCCTGTCAGTTTACAAATTTTTTGCTATTGGTTAATCTTTGATGTCAACATTTATTTTTAGTTGATTTGTACTAACTTGACATACTATGAAAATTAGCCCTTCCCTCAGATAATATTTTGCATCTTTTCCCCCCCCACCCCCCCGTTTTTCTTTCTTTTTTTAAATATTTTTTATTGATTTTTCACAGAGAGGAAGAGAGAGGGATAGAGAGTTAGAAACATCGATGAGAGAGAATCATCGATCAGCTGCCTCTTGCATACCCCCCACTGGGGATGCGCCCGCAACCAAGGTACACGCCCCTGACCAGAATTGAACCCGGGACCTTTCAGGCCGCAGGCCGACGCTCCATCCACTGAGCCAAACCGGTTCCGGCCTGTTTTTCTTTTGATAGTTATGGGCCTTGTGGAATATTTTTAGTTATTTAATTAATCTTTTTAAAATCTCTGTTGGATTAATTAGAAAGGCCTTCCCTACTCTTGGGTGATGAGTTCTCTATAATTTTCTCCTGGTTTCTTTCCTGCTTTTCACTTTCAATTAATTTTTGGGTTAACCAACTATTTTTAGAATTTGATATGTGCCGGGTCAATTTATGTTTTTAAATAAAACACATTTTAAATTATACATACACATACATACATACATATATGTAAATAAAATGGAAATATTAGCCACAACTGTCAGGTAGAAAGTGATATTCTTGATCACTTGCTTTAAAATTGCTCACCCACGGATATGTCTTATTGATTTACAATAAAAGTGTAATTTTTGAGTAAAGATATTTCTGAAGAAAGTTGATTTTTCTGGAAATAATTGTCTTTTAATTGAACTATGTAGGCTATGGATCATCTGCAGTCATTTATTGCTGATTGTGATAGAAGAACAGAAGTGGCCAAGAAAAGATTAGCAGAAACTCAAGAAGAGATTAGTGCTGAAGTGGCAGCAAAGGTAACAATTTCAATCTTATTTATGTATTTTTTATTTATTAATATATTTCTTTGTTGATTTCAGAAAAGAAGGGAGAGGGAGAGATAGAAATATCAATGATAAGAATCATCAGGGAAAAAAAGAATCATCGATCGGCTGCCTCCTGCATGCCCCCCACTGGGATTGAGCCCATAACCTAGGCATGTACCCTTGGCTGGAATCGGAACTCTGGACCCTTTAGTCCACAGGCCAACTCTTTATCCACTAAGCCAAGCAGTCTAGAGCATCAATTTTTTCTATAATACAGAATATAGTTTCATCGTTTTTTTTGTTGTTGTTGTTTGTTTGTTTTTAATACATTTTATTGATTTTTTACAGAGAGGAAGGGAGGGGAATAGAGAGTTAGAAACATCCATCAGCTGCCTCTTGGCACACCCCCTACTGGGGATGTGCTTGTAACCAAGGTACACATGCCCTTGACCGGAATCAAACCTGGGACCTTTCAGTCCGCAGGCCAACGCTCTATCCCAATGAGCCAAACAGGTTTCGGCATCATCTTTTAATTTTGAAAAATTACGTTCACAGAAGCTTACAAAGACAAAATGGGAAATTCTATGTTCTTTTCCTATAGTTTTCTTTATGTTAAGATATCTTATACAACCAGTACAGTGTCAAAGGCAATAAATTAATATTGGTCCAGTCCTTGTATTTTATTCAGATTTCTCCAGTTATGCATGCATTTACTTTTTTTGTGTGTGTTTTATCACATGTGCAAATTGGATAAATCCTACCTAATAAAAGAGTAATAAGCAAATTAACCATCACTCTGCTACACTCACAAGCCACACTCACCAGCCAATCAGAGCGAGTATGCAAATAAATTCAACCAAGATGGCTACAGCCAAAGAGAGCAGGAGGGAGGCGTTTCCCCAGCAATGAAGGAAGCCAAGCTTTCAGCCTGCCCTTGCCGGCCTAAGCCTCAACTCAAGGCTACAGAGTTTCAATTATAGAAGGTAAACAAATTCCAACAGAAATGGCTGCCACCACTGAGCAAGCAAGAGGCTTGGCTCCGCTCCAGGCTACAAAGTTTAAATTGTAGAAGGTAAATAAATTCCAGATACCAGGGCCTCTGCTTGGGTTAACAGGGGCCGTGGCTGGCCTGCAAACCACCATAGGCCCCTCGCTCAGTCCTCCCCACGCTCCAAGGGAACCCCCACCCTGATCTGGGACACCCTTCAGGGCAAACCAGCTGGCCCCCACCCATGCACCAGGCCTCTATCCTAAATAATAAAAGAGTAATATTCAGATTGACCATCACTCCAACACACAAGATGGGTGCCCCTATGTGGACACAAGATGACCACCACAAGATAGCCAGCAGGGGAAGGCAGTTGGGAGGGACCAGGCCTGCAAGGAAGTACAGTTGGGGGCAATCAAGCCTGCATGGGAAGGCAGTTAGGGGTGACCAAGTTGAAGGAGGGAAGTTGGGGGCAAACAGGCTGGCAGGGAAACAGTTAGACATCAGTCCAGCTGGCATGGGAGTGGTTAGGAGGTGATCAGGCTGGCAGGCAGAAGCAGTTAGGGACAATCAGGAAAGCAGGGAGTCGAGCAATTGGGAGCCAGTGGACCTGGATTGTGAGTCGGACATCCCTTGAGGGGTCCCAGATTGGAGAGGGTGCAGGCTGGCTGAGAGACACTCCCTACACCGTGCACGAGTTTTGTGCACCGGGCCTCTAGTACTATAATAATTACTGTAATTGTAGCATTGTCATCACAAGGCTCCCTCATGTTAACCGCCCTTTCTCCTACCCCCTGGCAACCACTAACTTATTTTCTTGTTTCTCATATCTCTGTGAGATATTAAATCTCTACTACTCAGATAAAGAAGTAGATTCAGGTGAAATAATAAGACCAAAATTGTAGATCTAGTAACTGACTTGCCAGATATCTAAAGTATATCTTTGCTTCAAAGAGAATTCACCAGCACCAGTTTATATTTTTAACTAATATTTGAGCTAATGCTGTTTGTTGGGCATTGGAAATACAAAGATGGGAAATATAGATAGCTATCTTTAATGTGGTATGATATATATAAAAGTAATTATCGTAAAAAATACAATGGTAACACAAAAGAGGATTTGGCTCTTTGCTTTTGTGTGTAATTGGAGGTGAAATATAGTGATTGGTCAAGAATGTTTCACAGAATAGACTCCAGTTGGATCTTGTTCAGTGAATAGATTGACTAGGCAGGCAAGTGAGGTAAAGGGATGACATCCCAAGAAGAAAGGGTATTTTATACTTGGAATACACTGCCAAAGCCGAGGTTGCAAAGTGATAGTTTAAAGATCAGATGTATCCCTGACTTGACCGAAGTGAAGGAGGCAAGCTCAAAAAATGTCTCACGAATTTATGATGTGCTCAGAAAGCATTGTTTATAATTATTTTGCCTCATATAATCTTTTCTGAGCATTTCTGAAATATTTTGAACTTTGATTCTTTGTCTGCTCTTTATTCATGATGTTCTTTTCTGTTACTTTTAGGCAGAACGTGTTCATGAGTTAAATGAAGAAATTGGTAAATTGTTGGCTAAGGTGGAACAACTAGGAGCTGAAGGAAATGTGGAAGAATCTCAAAAAGTAATGGATGAAGTAGAGAAAGCACGGGCAAAGAAAAGAGAAGCAGAGGTAACTAAATTCTTAATGTTGATCTGAAGAGTTATCATCTATACTTTATTTTTAATTCCTCACTGGAGGAGTAAGGATATTTTTTTCATTATTTTTAGAGAGAGTGGGGGGTGGAGAGAAAAAGAGAAGAGAAACATTGATGTGAGAGGGACATATCAGTTGTTTGTCTCCCGCTCGAGTCCTGACCAGGGCCAGGAATTGAACCTGTAACCAGGTAACGTGCCCTTGACCTGGAATTGAACCAAAAACCTTTTGGCCCCCAGACCTGCAATCTAACCACTGAACAAAACTGGCCAGGGCAGTATCTACTTAGAACATACATAACTAGTCCATATCATACCAATGGGTTATATCAAAATTAGTGGTTTTTGGAATTTGTAGCCATTGATAATGAAATTTATAGCTGGTAAGTAAAATCAATTGAACTAGCTAGTCACAGATAGCAGTCATTTGTGTCTGTGTGCATGCACACATATTCTGCATATATCTGGTTACTGTGATACCCTATTCTCCATTTTACATCCATGCAACTCTTCCCACCTCAGTACAGTCTGCTAGCACCTTGTGACCCTCAGCTCTTCCTCCATAGCACAGTTAAAATCTGATAACATGCACACGAAGTTCTATTATGTTTGACCCTAAATTCTATTTTTTTTTTTTTTTAAGAAATTGAATGCTTTCATATGAGATTGTATTTTCCACTTTTGCAGTAGTCTCCATTGCTTGTAACTATCATACCTGGGTTTAATTTGTTGTTATAGCTTTAAGGCAGAAGCTTAGGTTATTGATTTAAGATCATTTAATGTTATATGTTTTCTTCTAAGCACAACTATAGCTGCATCCCACAGATTTTCATTGTAATTAAATTAAAAATATTTACCTATTAATGCTTGTGATTTCTTTTCTCCTCCCTTCCCCTCCTCTTCCTTCTCTCGACCTCCTGTCCCCTCCTCTTCCAACCTGCCCTTCCCTTTTCTCCTTCTCCAACTATTTATTATACCATAAACAGTTGATTAACACAGATTTTGTATGTTATATGTATTATATACTATATTCTTACAAAAAAAGTAGTGAAATGAAAATATAGTACTACACTGTATTTATCGATACTGTAAGTTTGTCATTTGCTTCATCTGTAGTACCAACATCAATACTGTCTTATGATACAAAATACTATAGATGATGTTTAATATATAACTAACACTAGACCACAAAGAAATTTATTTACAGATATAACAATAATTCATGCTGAAATAATGGAAAAGCAATAATAGTAATCTGATGGCACACATAAACTAATTATTGAAATTCCATGGCACATCAAAAAATATTGAAATTCCATGGCACATCAAAAAATATATTTTTGCCAATCTGTCAAAAAATAGGTATAATTTTAATTCATTTACACTGGATAGCTATTGTATTGGCTATTGTCTTTTTTAAGTCTTTTATTAAAGCTTTTTTTTAGAGAGAGAGGAAGTGAGAGTGGAGAGACAGACATTGAAGTAAGAGAGAAACATCAATTGATTGCCCCCCTTATAAGCCCTAACTGGGGGATCGAACCCACAACCTGGGTATGGACTGAGATCAGGAGTCAAACCTGCCACCCTTTGGTATATGGGACCATACTTCAACCAACCCAGTCACACTGGCCAGGGCTGTTTTCATTTTTTTACTTGGCAGTCTTAAGGGAAAAGAGGTCAGTGCCCCTGACTAAATAGTCGGGTATCGCATGTTTAAAAATTTTTGCAGCATATTGGTTAAAAAATCTCCGGCCTAGTGTAATAAGATTGCTTCACAGTAGCCTAATGTAGACACTAATGAATAATTATAAAATTTTAACGGCATCCAGTATTCCAAGTCATATTCACAATACAGTATTAGAAACATCATTATATATATATATATATATATATATATATATATATATATATATATATATTTCTTTTTAATTGATTTTAGAGAGAGGAAGGGAGAGGGAGAGAGAAACATCAGTGATGAGAGAATCATTTGGGTGCCATTTATTAATTAATGTTTATGGTATTACACTAAACAAAATGGAAAATATGCAAGAAGCTCAAGAGATTAGTTTTTACTGTGTTATCCCATGTACTGTAGAGATGAACTGATAACATATTTGTTTTGTAAAATATCCTTCAGTTTGGGTTTATCTGACTTTTGTCAGGAATACCACTAAAGTTATGTTACATCCTGTTAGAAGGCACATGTTAGTCGTTTGTCCTATAACTGTGATGTTACTATGTTAGTGTTTGGTATTGACACTTGGAAATGGTAAATATTCTGTTTCCCATCACTTTTTGATTCACAGGTTATTGGTTACTTACTTCCTTTTAAAGAACTTTTCAATAGATTATATCCAGCAATGTCCACTTATATCTATATCTCTTTAGTCAAAGCTACAGAGAAGCTTAGAAATGTTTTTAACTGTGTATGCTCAGAACAAAGAGCAGAATTCTGTCAATAAGGAAAAAAGGATACAGTGAATATACAAACCTACTAGTATTAATTATTTCATTGATAATTGAAAGATATAAATAAAATGGTTCGGTATAAGATATCTAAATTTAAGGCATTTTTCATCTTTTGTCTTATAAACTATTATTTTTAATATGAAGTTTATTATTTGTATGTCCCATCCTCATTTTCAAAGGGATGTGTAAGAAAGAAGGCAGTGGAAGTAAGCTGTAATGATATAGAAGATGTGCATGCCTTCTCTGCAAGCATGGGCAACTTCTACTTCCTTGATCTTTCACTGATAAATAGTTTTGGGGTTGCTACAGCTCATTTTTAACAACAATTATAGAAAACAGAACATTGAGAAAAACTTTCAGAAAGTTGTGTTCTGGATCATGGTAGATACAGTAGTTCTTGGTAAAATGTATTTGGGGCTCAATTTATTTTTTTATTTTTTATTCCTAGTGAAGAGGTCCTGAGACAGAGGATGGGGGTGTTATGGGGAATCTAGAGTTTTCATGACAAAATAGCCATGCTTTGTGTATTCATTAGAAAACATTTTGTTCTTTAGAAAAGTGTATTTTGTTTAATTGTATGATGTTCATTGAAGTTTGTATGAACATTGTTTTTCACTTTTGTCTAGGAAGTGTATCGGAATTCTATGCCAGCTTCCAGTTTCCAACAGCAGAAACTTCGAGTCTGTGAAGTCTGCTCTGCTTATTTAGGTCTTCATGATAATGACAGACGACTGGCTGATCATTTTGGGGGTAAACTGCACCTGGGATTTATTGAAATAAGAGAGAAGCTTGAAGAATTAAAGGTATATTATTAAATTAATATCACTTTATCTAAGTTAACCATTCTTTTGATCTGTATTAGTTGTCTTTTTGTATAGTAATCTTGACTGTGAGTCGCTTTCACAATTCATACTGGATAGTTAGTGTAGGATTTCAAATGGAGATACCAGCTGGTTTAATGGATAATGTTTGAGAGACAGACCTTTAAATACTATTCCCCTATTCTTGGAGGTAGTAGTTGAATATAATAGAGTAGAAATATTGCATACTGGTTTTAAACTAATTCTTCTATACAAAGCCCCTAAGTTTTTCTCTCTTTTTTTTTTTTCCTATAAAATAATATAATATTTACTTTAAAGGAAGTTTGAGAAAATGAACCTAATATTTAGTTGAAATATTTTGCAGTTTTTCACTATATAGCAAGCTGATAGGACCTCTAGTTTTATTTTACACTCCTGCCCCCATTTCAGAAAGGAGTTAGAATGAAACCAATTTTTTAAAAAGGACAATCACTATCAAATAAGTAAGCCATTCTGAGAAAGGCAATAAATTCTTACTCATCTGCTGAGTTCTTTTGAAATGATAAGCAAACAAAAAAGGTATTTCTGAAGACGCAAACATAAACAGAGCGAATGAATATTGTAGTTAATAGTGTGCTCTCTGTATTCTGAGTAGCTAAGATGATCTCGCTCAGGTAAATTTTAAAAGAATGACAAAATGAGTTTCAGTATAGCAAATGGTACCTACTTGGGATTCTTTGCAGATAAACCTAGCAACAGAACAGTTTAGCATTTTACTGTTTTTCAAACAGCAGTATCAGGGTGGTATTGGAAGTGACACAAAACATTTCTATATTGGAAATCATAGAGCATGGGAGTTTGTGATTTATAATGGTTGATTTATTTTATTTTTTTAAAGCTTGGAAAGATTTATTTTTTTATTTTTTTAAATATATTTTATTGATTTCTTACAGAGAGGAAGAGAGAAAGGAAGAGAGAATCATCGATCAGCTGCCTCTTGCACACCCCCTACTGGGGATGTGCCTACAACCAAGGTACATGCCCTTGACCGGAATCAAACCTAGGTCCTTTCAGCCTGCAGGCCTACGCTCTATCCTCTGAGCCAAACCTGTTTCGGTAATGGTTGATTTCTTTAAAAAAAAAAAAAAAAAAAAAAAAAAAAAGCAAAGTAATGCTAGAAAGTATTCAGAGGAGAAAAATTATAGAATTAATTTTCAAATTTTAAGAGGTCATGAAGGCCCAAGGCCCTTGCTTGGTAGCTCCGTTAGAGTGTCATGCTGATACGCCACCGTGCGAGTTTGATCCCTGGTTCAGGGTATATACAGTAAGCAACCAGAATGCACAAATAGTGGAACAACAAATCAGTGTTTCTCTTACTTCTCTCTAAAACTCAATAAGTAACTTAAAAAAATAAAAATAAAAGAAGTCATGGAGGTCCATGACATTTTATAAATTTTATAAAAAGAGGAAAGATTTTAGAAACCAAATTTGTAAGTCTTACCAAAATTGAATCATTGTCCTAACCAGTTTGGCTCAGTGGATAGAACGTTGGCCTGTGGACTCAAGGGTCTCAGGTTCGATTCCGGTCAAAGGCATGTACCTTCTTCTCTCATCGATGTTTCTAACTCTCTATCCCTCTTCCTTCCTCTCTGAAAAAAAACTAATAAAATATATATTTTTAAAATTGAATTGTTATTAGCAGATTTTAATGTTACTTGTACAATATTGGAAACCAGATCTGGCTAAAGTTTAGGATAATGCTCAATAAGAATGGACCCAATAAATAATGCTTCTCATTTATTACTATTTAAAAACTCAGTTGTTTTTTGTTTTTTGTTTTTAAGAGAGTTGTAGCTGAGAAACAGGAGAAAAGAAACCAGGAACGCCTGAAGCGAAGAGAAGAAAGGGAGAGAGAAGAAAGGGAAAAGTTGAGGAGGTATGAAGTAATGAATAGTCTTAAGTATTGGAAGTTGAAAATCCTTGTTTCTAATTTGAGATGTGAGTGGTATAAGATTTTAGATGTTGCCGAAACCGGTTTGGCTCAGCAGTAAAGCGTCGGTCTGCGGACTGAAAGGTCTGGATTCGATTTCGGTCAAGGGCATGTACATTGGTTTTGGCACATCCCCGGTGGGGGGTGTGCAAGAGGCAGCTAGTCGATGTTTCTCTCTCATCGACGTTTCTAGCTCTCTATCTCTCTCCCTTCCTCTCTGTAAAAAATAAATAAAATATATTAAAAAAAAAAAAAGATTTTAGATGTTAACAAATGTAGACATGGGAAATTTTTGTTTACTCTTTAAAATGCTACCATGCAAAACAATGTGCAAGTATGTTAACGTAATGGCCATTAAAGTCAAGGTCCTTTTTTCCTTCCAAGTGTATTGAAGCGGTAATAGAGAGAGAGTCACATGTTTGTTTTGTAAGCTATATAAAAAAGCTCTTTCCAACCCACTGATTTTCATGATGGGATAGATTTGTACCAGGTTGGCATGGAACTTTTTTATGATCTATTTTATGCTTGAAAAAGGTTTGGATTTTTTGTTTCATTGATTAAATTTACTTTCATTCTACACTCAATTATAGGAGCTATAAACTTTTAAAATGTTTATTAATTCAATAATAGGTAAATTATTATTATTATTTTTTTAAATATTTTATTGATTTTTCACAGAGGGGAAGAGAGGGAGATAGAGAGCTAGAAACATCGATGAGGGAGAATCATCGACCAGCTGCCTCTTGCACACCCCTATTGGGGATGTGCCGGCAACCAAGGTACATGCCCTTGACCGTAATCGAACCCGGGACCTTTTAGTCTGCAGGCCGACGCTCTATCCACTGAGCCAAACTGGTGCCGGTGGTAAATTATTTTTAATTCGTATTAATAGTTATTTTTATATTGGTATTGGTTGATAGAATCATATAACTCTTCATATTTACAATGTTTAAATGTTCTGGGTTACTTTTATTCATTATCAACAAATTGCTTGGTATTCTGGTGGCAACATTTTTTGTATGTCTTGTTCATAACTTCAACAATTTTAGGATGGGCAGGTATGCCACAAATGATTCACCTGTAGTTCTAATTTATAGTGTTTTTTTAATTGTATTACACATCTCTGAAATTTAAATGCCTTACCCTTGATAATATGTATAGGTCATGCCAACTTCCTCTGAGTTTTTTTATTTTTATTTTTATTTATTTTTATTGAATTCAAGAGGGAAAGAGAAAAGAAACATCAATGATGAGAAAGAATCATTGATTGGCTGTCTCCTCCACCCCCTACTTTTGATCGAGCTTGCAATCCCAGGCATGTGCTGTGACTGAATCAAACCGTGACCTCCTGGTTCATAGGATGACTCTAAGCCACTGAATCATGTGGCTGGGCCATCTTCCTCTTTGGGGAAGTGCTGTCATTCCTCCACTGATGAATATGTTCTTCATTTATCATAAATTTCACCTCAGAGCTTTAGCTCTATTCTCTTTTGTGTGCTCAGATGGTGATATTGCCCAATATTGTAATATTTAAAACAATATAAATGGCATTAGAAATATCAGTTTAACTTAAAATTCAACTGAATGTAGGGCCATTAATATAAATGATTCAACTGAGGTAAATCAAATGAGAAAAAAATATTCTTTGCAGAAATACATTTTCACATTTGTAGATGACAAGAAAGTACATTGCATCTTTTCTGTTGCCACTTGACAAATTCTTTTAAACAATAATTATATATACATTTGATTTTTTATAGAGAGGAAACGAGAGAGAGAGAGAGCGAGCTAGAAACATCAATGAGAGAGAAACATCGATCAGCTGCCTCCTGCACACCCCCGACTGGGGATGTGCCCGCAACCAAGATACATGCCCTGGACTGGAATTGAACTTGGGACCCTTGAGTCTGCAGGCTGACGCTCTATCCACTGAGCCAAATCGATTTTGGCTAAACAATAATTATAAATGCAATGTATTTCAGTAATGCTTTTAAAAATTTTTTTATCTGTATCGAACTTAATTAAGTATTATAGCTAAGTATGGAAGATGAGGAAATTGCAAGTAAGTTCAAAATTACACCGGATAGGATTATAGCTATGGTACTGAAAAAGGTAATGGTAAAAATTATTACTTCCGAGTGCCATTTTCTAGGCACTGTGCTAAGAATTTATCTCTAGCAGTTCATCTAATCCTTAAAATTCCCCTGTGAAATTGATATTACTATCCTTCTTTTACCAATGACAAACTGAGCTGAGGGGAATATGTATGTCTGCCAAGGTCACACAGATGGTGAATGGTGGAACCAGAGTTGAAAGATCGGGCTGATTCCAATGCCATGCTCCAACTATCTAAATAGTCTCCACAAAAACACTATAATATTGGCTATTACTATTTATTAAATGTTAATTGTATGCTAGGAAATGTAAGAGTGTTTTATGTCAATGTCATATGTCACATTAAACATGTTGTGCCCCCTGGCCTGGTGGCTCAGTTTGGTTGACATGTCATCTTGTATACCAAAATGTTTCCAGTTCAATCCCTAGTTGGGGTACAGGCAGGAGGCAGCTGATCAGTATTTTCTTTCACATTGATGTTTCTCTTTTTTTCTCTACTCTCTCTCTCTCTCTCTCCCAAAAATCAATAAAACATATCCTTGGTTGGGAAGAAATTGGAGGGAGGGAGAAAACAGGAAGGGAAACGTCGTAAGATTGATTTGGGTGTTCTAGGGTTTATAGTATAAGTTTGCAGATCCAAAGTGTATGCTACTCAGATCATAGACATTTTACTCTGCTCCCAGAGGGAATGAAGAAATGACAGATACCAAAGAATTTTTCCAGGGTTGGAAAGTAAGTGGTTTCTGGAGAATTAGTGAGTTGGGATGTGCTGTGTTAAGAACCAGGTTTCTTAGTTAAGAGAATTCATATGCCAAGGTGGGGAAGTCTGTAGAGTTTGTGGTATATTTTGAAAATGTTTCTGTGCATACATATGCCTTATATTTATAAAGTTAACCTAAAAATTACAAATCGGGAAGAATAATTTCTAACAGTCCAGCGTACTTATCCTCATTTTTAGTTACTTTTCTAAAAAAAATAGATTGTTTTGTTTTGTTTTTTTAGGTCTCGATCACATAGCAAGAATCCCAAAAGGTAGGTATAATACAAGTTAAGTAGTGAAGCTGGTTTTTTGTTGTTGTTGTTGTTTTTCAAATATGGGTATTATAGTTAAAATGCCTTTTAAAAATGAATGAGAATAGATTAGTACACTTAATATTTTTGTAGTTCAAGAAATATCTTTTAAGAAGAAACTATTCAGAAGATACTCATGCACTATACTTTAGTTTTATCAAAGTAAAATTATATAAACAGTGCCCTGGAGTTAGGGGGAAAACTTAAAACATTTCAGAATATTTTTTTTACTTTTTAAAATTTTTGTTGATTTCAGAGGAAAGGGAGAGATAGAAACATCAATGATCAGAATCATAAATTGGTTAATAATCACCAGGTTCATAGGTCAACTTTCAACCATTAAACCACAGCGGCTGGGCTACAGTATTTCTTCCTTTTTTTTTTTAATTGGCATTTGTGTGCACTTTTTTTTTTTTTTAAGCGAAGTAAACTTTTAAAATTTTATTGATTTTAGAGAGAAAGGGAGAGATAGAGACACCAATGATGAGAGAATAGTTTATTGGCTGCCTCCTGGGAATCGAGCCTGCAACCCGGGCATGTGCTCTTGTCCAGGATTGAAACCGGGACGCTTCAGTCCGTAGGTAATGCTCTGTTCACTGAGCTAAACCAGCTAGGGCCAGAGTATTTCTTTAAAATCTCCTTTAGAAGCTCAGGATAAATATGTGACAGGAATTTTTTTCTTTCTTTTAAATTTGGGTGGGGCATCTAAGAAACATTCTAAGAAATGTACCTGTTGAAAACGTAGGTAAGTTAAGTAATTGGATATATCTTTGAATGAGAGGTTCATGGTGGATTAGTAAGGGAAACTAAAATGTTTAGTTTAGCCCTGGCCAGTGTGTACTGTGCACACTGAAAGGCTACCATTTTGATTGCTGGTCAGGGCGCATACGAAAATGCCCTGTCAAAGTGCAAATGGGAAGCAGCTGATCACTGTTCCTCATGTCGATGTTTTTCTCTTTCTCTCTTCCCTTTCTCTCTCTCAAAAATCAAAAAAACATATTAGAAATAAAATGTTTAGTTTATGCCTCCATCTTGACTTTATATGAGTTAGTACTTACTTGGTAACTGATCACAAAAAGCTTGAAAGGGGCACTTAGAGCCTTAAAGAGGAAAAGGACATGATAACACTTTTCTTTGACATATTTGGGGGCTTTTTGAAGCCTTTCTTTACAATTTTTACTAGCTACTGGTAATTGTTTTCTATCTGAGAAAGGAGAAAACATGGTGTGCTTTATCGTTCTTAATTCCTCACTTGCCATTCTCATTCTTATACTTGACTCTCTCTCCTGAATGTATTCCCACCTAGAATGCCCTTTCTCATTCTTTTTGAAATTGTAGTATTCCTCTTGTTTGGATGACTTTTTTTTTTTTTTTTAAACATTCTAAGTACTCTTAACTTATTAACTATTTCCCAAGAAATTTTCCCTCTAAATGGGAGCATTTGTCTTTATAAAAGAAAAACCTACCCTAGCTGGTTTGGCTTAGTGGATAGAGGGTCGGCCTGCAGACTGAAGGGTCCTGGGCTCAATTTTGGTCAAGAGCACACATGCATGGGTTACAGGCTCTACCCCTAGTAGGGGGCGTGCAAGAGGCAGCCAATCAATGATTTTTCTCTCATCATTGTTGTTTCTATATCTCCCTTGCTTTCTCTCTGAAATAAAAAAACAAGACAAAACAAAATTATTATTTTTTTAAAGCAAAACCTTACATTTTTTAGATACCCCTATGTGGTTTTTAACCTTTCAGTTATTTTTCTGCTTAAAACACTAAAAAACTAAGACATAAGTAAGTAGAGAGGACCAGTTGGGTTAGCTAGTTTATGTTGTGAGTTTCTCAAATCCAAAATAGAAGTATAAGCATTAATTGATGATACTATTCTGTTTATTGGTTGATTAATGCAAGCTGGTTACCTTTGTTGAAAAAAATATTTAAATTATTTGTATTAGTGAAATAAATTATGTCATCTCTGTTTAAGTCCTCCAAAGATACTCCATTTCTTTTTTTACTACCTGACCTATTTTTATTTATTGCCCACATATCTGGAATACGTATATAGGTTGGTCAAAAGTAGGTTTACAATTGTTTGTGTAGAAAATACAGTAATAAGTAATAATACAAGAATAAACTCTTGTGTTTCCCTTACAACTATAAACCTACTCTTGCACAGCCGTGTAATTGCAGCACAATCTTCTTAGTACCAAGAACAGTGCAGCAGGCATCCAGTAAATATTTTTTGAAGGATGGGTAAGTTTAAAAAGATAAATGAAGTAATACATTGAAAGAAATGGATTTATTATAATAGCTCAAAATGAGTGATTAACCAAAATATCGTTTGGCAAAACTTGTATTGAATGAATTTTAAGCTCTTTCCCCTGCATAAAATTATATCTTGTGAATATTCATGCAAGGAAGAAGTTAAGCTTCTTTAAGATTCTGAATCTGCCCTGTCAAGCTAACTGTATATAATGCATATCTATTGTACAGATTAAACAACAATATACTAGAATGTGTCTGCTCTGCGGAAGTGCACCAGCTCAAAGAAGTATGGATAATAAAATAATTTTGATTTGTTTTCTTAAACCTCACCTGAGGATATTTTCCCATTGATTTTTAGAGAGAGTAGGAGAGGAAGAGACAGAGGAAAACATCAATGTGAGAGAGAGACATTAAATGGTTTCCTTCAAATGTGCCCCAACCAGAGTACATGGCCTTTACCGGAATCGAATCTGTGACCCTTCAGTTTACAGCTGACTCTCTATCCCACATGTGTCAAACACAAGGCCCCCGGGCCAAATCCGTCCCGCCAGGCCTTGCAATGTGGCCTGCACCGCGCTGTCATCACTGCACTCTGCTGCGTTTCCATCACAATGACAGTTTATGACTGTTCAGTAAACCATTCGGCCCGTGATTTAGGCTGGATTTTAGATTTTGGCCCCTTCTCTGATTGAGTTCGACATGCCTACGTGAGCCAAACCACTAAGGCTCCCCCTGCTTCATATCAGAAATATTTTTTAAAAACTTTTTTTATTGCCTAGCTGGTGTTGTGCAGTGGTTGAGACTTGGTCTACAAATGGGGAAGTCGTGGTTTGACTCCTGGCCCATGTTGTGAGCTCAATCACAACTAGGAGTGTGTAGCAGGCAGCCAGTCAATGATTCTCATTAATTTTTCCATCTCTCGATCCCTCTCCCTTCCTCTCTTTGACATCAGTAAAAATGTAATTGAATCAATGGAACAAACACAATCAATGATACAAATATTTTTATTGATTTTTAGAGATAGAGGAAGGGAAGGGGGAAAGAAAGAAAAACAATGTAAAAGTGGAACATAGATTGGCTACCTTTACACGCCCCTTTGGGGATCGAGCTCAAAACGGGCATTGCCCTGACCAGGAATTGAACCAGCAACCTCTAAGTACTTGAGAGAATGCCAACCAACTGAGCCACACTGGACAGGGCCAGAAATGTTTTTTCAAGTGTGAAATATTCTGTTCAATTATGGTGGTTATGTCCACAGAATGTGCCTTTCTTTGACCATAACGTTGACATACACTAAATGCTTTTAAAGTTCACTTAACAAAATAATCATTGGAAAATAAAATCAGTTTGCGCATGTAACATCTTAATGTGTTTTTGTACTTAAGTAATTCTTCTAAATTTCATACCTTTATTTCTCATTGTTTTCCCTCAGTTCTGTCTTCTGCATATGCCATCCCCTCACCACACACAAGTTAGTTTTGTGACTTAAGTGGAGATTACAGAAGTGTTTTTCCTTCTAGCTTTTTTTTTTTTAATATGTTTTTTTTTGATTTCAGAAAGAAATAGATAAAGGGAGGTATGGAGGGAAAAAGAAGGGAGGGAGGGAGGGAGAGAGAGAAATGATGAGAATCCATAGGCTGCCTACTGCATGCTTCCTATTGGGAATTGAGCCTACAATCTGGGCATGTGCTCTGACCAGGAATCCAATCATGATCTTCTGATTCAATAGGTCGATGCTAAATCACAAAGCCACACTAGATGGGCTGTCTAATTCTGTTTGGATTACACTGTGACTAGGCATATTTTGGACATTCAAACTTCTTTTTTTTTTTTTTAATATATTTTTATTGATTGATTTTAGAGAGGAACGGAGAGGGAGAGAAACATCAATGATGAATCATTGATTGGCTGCCTTCTGCATGCTCCCCACTAGGGATGGAGTCTACAATCTGAGTGTGTACACTGAACAGGAATTGAACCATGACCCCCTGGTTCATAGGTCAACACTCAACCACTGAGCCAAACTTTAGTGGTCATACAAAACCTCTCTAATCCAGAGAGGTTAAACTTATTCTAAACAATATTTTCTTTCATGTCTCCCCTCCTATCCATGTCCATCAGGTACATGCTTTACCTAAAGTATGCTAAAAGTCTTATAAGTTTAAATGAAACATTTATTCCATAAAGCATCTAGATAATACAATCCCTGATGTATAGTAGTGATATAGATTAGTTTTCTTCCTTTTTTTATATTCCTGATGTAAATTTATACACTACTGATTGACCTCTGTGTGCGTCATAGCAACTGGTGGTTCTGGTGTTTGGTCTATTTGCATATTAGCCTTTTATTATATAGGATTATATGGGATACCAGCAGTTTTAGTGTGGATTTAGTTGACTTGAATAGAATTGGCATTAAGCAAAGCTACTACGGGATAGTTTCTGTTTAAAGAGAGGCTTTAGTCAATGAGCAGTGTAGTGTTGACAAAGCTACAAAGTAAATCAAATGTTTTTTGTAGATCCAGGTCCAGAGAGCATCGCCGACATCGATCTCGCTCCATGTCACGAGAACGGAAGAGGAGAACTCGGTCTAAATCTCGAGAGAAGCGCCATCGCCACAGATCTCGCTCTAGCAGCCGAAGTCGCAGCCGCAGCCACCAGAGAAGTGGGCACAGTTCTAGAGACAGAAGCAGAGAGCGATCCAGGAGGAGGTACTGAGGTGTCCATAAGAGGACATGGAACTACCTTTATGGTTTAGAATTGGAATACTATTGGTTTGAAACTTGCATCTGATAATATGTACACATTTGTGTGTGGGTGTATTAACAGTTTTTTCGCTGATTGTATGGATAGTTCAGAAAGAATATTCTTATGAGCCAGAGTAAGACATTTGGAACAAATATGTGCAGAGGTTATGCTTTTCTCTGCGTGGTGTGTTTTTGGCAGAGGGTGGGGGTGGGGACGACGTACTTCATGGGCAAATAATTTTAGGTACCAATAGTTTTAGAGTTTTTTTTCTGTATGTATTGATGAATTAGGGACTCTGGGCAGTCCTTTCATTGAATTGTTCAGCTTTGTTTGACATTGTTTTCCATATTTCTTTGAGCTGGTGCACTTCCGCAGAGCAGACACATTCTAGTATATTGTTGTTTAATCTGCACAATAAGTATGCGTTGTTATATACAGTTAGCTTGACAGAGCAGATTCAGAATCTTAAAGAAGTTAGACTTCTTCCTTGACATGAAAATTCATAAGATACAAGGAGTGCAGACCCAGGGTAAAGTAAGTTTAAGGACCTGGAAATTTCATTGGGACAAAGGATAACAATATGGTGAAGCCTTAGTACTTGGTCTGTATAGACCAAACTCCCAAAGTGTCTCAGGTTACACGATGGTCCTTAAGCTAGTTCATTTCTGTGGCCCATAAGCCACACTTTAAAGTGTTTTTTTTTTCTTGATAATTTTTTTTTTTTTTTTTTTTCAGAGAGAAAGGGGGAAAGGGAGTAACATCAGTGATGAGAGAGAAGCATCAATCTGCTGCCTCCTGCATGGTCCCTACTGGGGATCAACCGTGTGTGATCTCCCGGTTCGTAGGTTAATGATCAAACACTGATCAACACTGGCCCGGGCCTTGGCAACTCTTCTTAAACATGCATATAATTTTTGAGTTCCTGGTCTCTACTGGTTTTAAATTGTCTATGGATCATGCTACATAAAAACCATATTAGAATCCACACAATGTTGTTTAAACTTCCTGGGGTTTTTTTTATTCCCAACCAGCCATTCCCTGAGACCACTCACAAGCTGAGTTAGTTCATAGGCTATCAATCAATATTTATTAATTCTTGATTTGTTCCAAGTAGGTCTTTCTTCCCCAGCTTTATTGAGGTATTGGCAAATAAAGTTCTAAGATATTTAAAGTGTGCACTGTGGTGATTTGAGGTACATTACAAAAGCATTTTCACCGTTAGTTAATTAGCACATTCATCACCTCACATATTTATCTCTTTTGTTTTTGGTGAGAATATTTAAATTCTCTCTTCGCAAACCAATAAGTTTTTAAGGTGACTTTAATCAGAAAGAACTGTATACTTTCTACTGTAGGTCTAGTAAAAAATACCAAATATAACATAGTTGACCAACTTTATTCAAGTTAGAAAACAGGACTAATAAGATCTTGGACAACAGACTGATATAAAACCTAGCATATTACAAAGTGCTAAACTGTATGTCATAGAGTAATACAGGAGTGTAGATGTTTATTCCAGAGCAATAAAAAAATGGCTCAGGTAATAGATAATAAAACTTGAATAAAGTGGGTATCTTTTGAATAGGTAAAGCCAGGTAGGAAAAGATGAGTGATTATCAGCAAATGTAGAGAATGAGCAGGGAATTTATATAAGGGATAGTTTCTGATGGTGTGATTTGCCACTTGTCTCAAATTCTTAAAACTAGGCCCGGTGCCATGCCCAGGAAAAATGCATTTTAAAAAATTCTCTATGAATTTTAACTGCACTGTAAATTTTGGGAATCATTCTGCTGGTTGATGGACGGTCTAGACAATTTCACTGGAGAGCCCGCCCACCTTTCATTGTTTCTGGTGTCTGTCACCTCTTTTATGATGGTTGAGATAGAAGGGCTATTCATCTGAGATTGTGTTGTTCTAGTCCTTAATGCTTCCTGCATTTATGAAGTTGTATAGGACGTTTTCCCACCATACACGTGATACCTCTACTAAATTTTCAGCATGTCCTAAAGAGGATTATTTTTGTAAAAGTTTTGCTTTTCTCTAGAGCACTTCTAATCTTCATATTCAAGTTACTCTCAAAGTAATAGTCTTTGTTTTACAAAAAATTATTGGAAAGTTGCTATTAAAACCTAAATGTTGTTATAAGTTATTGCTATATATTTGAGTTTAATTTTCAAGGTAAAAGTCTAAGTTAAGGGTCTTTAATGATTTGTTGTTCCCCTGCCTCAGCTGAAATACTGGTCCCTGATAGAAGCATATTCTGTTTGTGACCTTTCCCTTGCAACAGTTACCCATTTTCATTCTCCTGCTTCCTACTTCCTATTAGTGCAGACCCTGGAGTCCAACTTCTTGGGTTCAGTGGCCTGGCCAAGTAATTTAATTATCCTACCCTTCTTTTCCCATCTACTAGGTAGAGATAGATAGTAAGAATACCTGCTTTATTAGGATTATTGGTAATTTGAGTGAAATAGTGAATGGGAAACTGCTAGTGTATAGGCAATCTAATCTCTCACAAAGCATTAGTTGATGCTCATCTCATAGTTGATTTTCCGTTATTACTGACCTCTTTCTCATCATCTCCATATTCCATTCTCATGAAGAAGTATGGGTAGGATTAATGTAGCCAGATGTGTACTGTGTTTTGTTTTGTTTTTTTACAGTACATCATTTTTAAATTAAGCTCATTAAAACCTTAATTAAGCAGAATGCTTGAAGTTGGCATTACTTTATCTTTCAACCTTTTCAGTTTAATCCTCTTTAACTGTATTTGTAGAATGTAGTAGTTTTTTCCTGCCATAGAAGTTAAAAGTATTAATCAGGCCTCAGATCCAAATTCTGAACATGGGTTAAGTGAAATAATTATGTAAAATTATTATGTCACCTATAAAGAAAGAAATAAACATAATATGTGGTACTGATTCATTCTAGATGTTGAAAGTATAGAAAATTCCATATTAATTCTGATCCTGTAATGTCCTTTGGTTTTTCTACTGACTGAATCTCTGATATGAGCTTGCTTTGCTATTATTTACTTTGTTGAAGTTGGGTGGGTGTGGGAATAGAGAGGTTGGGGACTCGTCCCCCCTCCCCACGTGGGAGTCTGTTCTTATTTCTCAAATTTCCACCATTGCTACAAAAAGAAAGAAAAAAGAAGCAGTCTTGGTTAATCAAGATTTATAATAATGTGATTGTCTATCTCTGTCTTCCATCTTGATTTTTATCTGTTGGTTGAATGAGCTAACTGAGAAGGAGTAAAGCAGATTTTGAAAATAATGAATGGTTACCTTGTCATTAAATGAGTAGTTTTCTTATCTAAGTTGTCTACAAGCCAAATCTGGTCCCCTAGCCTGTTTTTGTATAGGCAGCAACCTATGGATGGTTTTTACATTGTTAAAGGGTTGATAAAAAAGAAAAGGAAGAAGAATATACCATAGAGACTGCATGTGACCTCAAAACCTAAAGTACTTACTCTGACCAAACAGCAAAAAAAGTTTGCAGAGCCCTTGTTTAAGACATTGATTTCCGTCCTATGTGGGATCTATCTACATTCTATAATATATTTTAAAGTAAGATAATACGTTTTGCTTTTTTAAGTTATTGTGTATAATTCTTATGTTAAATGCATTTGCGATGAATTGGAAAAGTTTTGATTGCCCCTCAGAATGAGAATGTCCTATAAAGTCTTATTTTCAAATATGGTTTTTCACCCTTATCTATTTGTTTTCACCCATGTCTTTGTTTAGATAGACCCTTATCAAATATGGTAGTGCTCTTTTCTGTCAGAACACTGACTCTTGTCTTTCTTGGATATATTCTGTATGTCTTCAGCAGTCATACCTTAATATTTATCCGATTCTTTCTCTTGGATTTTGGGTTCCCCAACACATTTTGCTCCTTAAATTAATATTTTTCAGATCCTCAAAAGAAAGATTCAGAGACCAAGACTTAGCATCACGTGACAGAGACAGGAATTCAAGAGACAGATCACCTCGTGACAGAGATCGAAAAGATAAGAAGCGGTCCTATGAGAGCGCTAATGGCAGATCAGAAGACAGGAGGAGCTCTGAAGAGCGCGAAGCAGGGGAGATATAATTAGCTGTGTACATATCCTCAATCCTTAAGCTTCCTATGGAGTTACATACTATTGTTTAGTTTACAGCTGTTTGGCGGGCACAGGGAGCAGTTCCAGACACCAGTCCAGCTAGGCTAGATATACATTATCTAACTTGATCTGAACTGAACTTGCTTTCCTGATGTAGCCTAAACTACATCTAGAGTTTCTGGTGAACCTGTAATACAGTTCTGAAAATACAGTTTTATAAAAGACGCAGAGGTCTTTATTCTTTCAAGTAGGAGTGATAGTGAATAATTCTGTAACTTGCCTTGGGATTTTTTGAGCATTTGTAAAATGCTGTCTTCCTTTCTAGTACAAACTGCAGCTTTTGGAATTTTCCTTTTTAATTCTTCTTCCTCTGACTTTTGTATCCCCCTAATATCTCCGACCCTCTAATTATAAGAGAAAGGGGGTTAGGGAAGCAATATGACTTCTAAGTTTCTGTTCCCATTAATTACTAGCTGATTATAGCTCAGAGCATTTATACTGGAATGTGGGCTGGAGAAATTTAAATATTGGGAGTTTTGTTTGTTTTAGAGTTGAAAGTTGAACAGCTGTTGCATTACATACTTTGCTTTTTTTATTGACAATTTGAAATCAAACAAGTCTTGATTTTTCTGTTGTATTGAATTGCTACATTTGGGGTGTTTTGAAAAGGGGGAGGGGGCAGGGACTTTTTCATAAGCACTTCTTGTTTTATTTTGTATGTGTGGACTATAAAGGCTACACCCTTATTGTAACCAATAATAGTAAAATGAAAGAAACAATCAACACCATCATCATTAAACTGTAACTTGTCTTAGTAAATTGTCACTAGAAACTACTACGCTGTGGGTATTTCTTCTGTTCTATCATTAATAGTGCCTTACTGTGCAAGGCACCAGAGGAAATCAAATTACACTTGCGAAGATTCAAGATGAACTGTTCCACCTGGGTCCTTGCCGACTATATTCCAGCTGTTTCAGGGCTGTCTGTAACAAATGCTATCAAGACAGACTGGACCTGCAGAAGAAATTGGAGTTTTTATTTGTTTTTGTTTGTATTTCTTCTCATTCAGCAAACTGAAATAAAAACATGGTATAACTAACGTAATGAGTAGTTATTTCTGCATTGAAAAGCTGTGATTTAAACTGTGATTTAAAGCTATGATTTAAACAGGTATCCCTTGTGATTCTAGAAAGTCTGAGGAACAGAAATACATTAAATAATGGAATTAGTTTCTGTGAATATAATTACCTAAGATCACCTTTCAAACACTTTTTAATTTGTTCCCCTAATTGTGAGGAATGCAGGCCTCATTGAATTTAGAGTGTAAATCTGAGACCATCGTCACATCTCTCAAGGTTGCTGGCTGACAGCTGACTCTTCAGAACCTCAGTCCACATCATATGCTGTAACTGATCAATGTTTCTATCTCCCTCTTCCTCTAAAAAAACAAAACAAAAACAAACCCCCAAAGTCCTTAGCATATTGCTCCACATCTTCCCTTATATATTTTGGAACAACTTCTTTTAGTTATTTCACCAACCCAGCTGAGCTCCAGTTCAAAAGCTTTGAACTTCATCGTGTAGAACTGATTTTTTAAAAACACATCCTAAATTTAGTAGTACTAAAAATCATTCATTTAAAAAAAATATATACAACTCATATTTATGTACTACGATAAAAAAAAAATATTTAAAAAAAAAATTTTTTTATCTGAAGTAACAAAAGGTGTTTATATCCTGATTTTATTATAACCTGACTTGATAGATTTTTCCAGGGTATAAATAAGGCAATACAAAGTTTTCATTTTTCTTCGTATTGCCTGCTCTCATTAGAAAAGCAATCCCAGCTTCAGGGAAGTTGGGAAATGCTGGGAAGGGCAACGGTTTTGATGACAGAGGTCGATTGGGGGACTGGGTAGGTGTCCAGCAGCAGAATGATGCTGGGACCACAGGTGAGCGGAGCCTTCATGCATTTTTCCCAGGTACCAGCAGAAACCAAGATGTCGAAGGTTCTGGGTCTACAAGCACATCTGGGATCAGACCAAACTAATGGCCAGCATAGTAGGGTTTTGGCTGAAAGCAAGGTATTCAAACTCACAGAACTGGGCTCTCCGTCAAGGATCCATCAAAGAGATGAAGCCATATAGAAGTCAAAGTCCCAACTGCAGTGCTACACTCCTGTATCTGGATACTATTGGCTGCCTATCACAGAAGATCCAACTCCAATGGGCTTGAACAGTGAAGGGGTCCTTGGCTCCATTGTCGAGGTCCATGTGACAGCCCCATACTGAGCCTTATAACCAGATGAAAACGACTTTCCTCAGATGCCTCAGGCAACCATTTTCTCACATCCCAAATTTAAGTTAATGGTGGAATTGCAGTTACATAGAATATCCTTATTTTGAGAAAATGCAAGGTAAAGTATTTATGGGTGACGTGTGTTGATGTCTGTAACAAATGGTTTCAAATGGTTCAATTTTATATATACATAAATAGGGTAAATGGCAAAATGTTAATTGTTAGAGCTAGGTAGAGAGCATATGGGTGTTCATGGCACTCTTTAAATTCTGTGTGTTGAAACACCGTATTTCACAAAGTTGGGAGATATTTTAGATTTTTTATTTAAACAATCACTTAAAATATTGCCCTGTGGGCATGGATGTTTTAGGTAGGATTTCTCTAAATATGGTCTCTGGACTGTTGGTATAAGAATCACAAAAGAAATATCCGAATGGCCAATGAGTTCATGAAAAAAGCTCAATATTCTCAGTCATCAGGAAAATGCAAATGAAAACCACATTGAGATTCCACTACACACCCACCAGAATCACCAAGTGTTGACAAGGATGTGGAGCAACTGAACCCTTGTGTTCTGGTGGACTGTAAAATGGCACAGCTGCTTTGGAAAACAGTTTGGCAGTTTATTATAAATTAAACATCTCCTTCCCATACAACACCAGGTAATCTTACCATAGGTACTGAAGAGAAATGAAAATGTATGTCCACACAAAGGCTTGTATTCCAATGTACATAGCTGTATTCATAGCCTCAAACCGGAGGTAACTGATATCACCAAGTAGAGAGGAGATGAATAAATTCTGATACCTTCCTTCAAAACAAAGACCTACTGATAAGTGCAGCAACATGTATAAGTCTTGAAAACCTTATACTCAGCTGAAACAGCAGATACCAAGCAATATGTACTGTACGATTCTTTACATGAAATCCTGGAACAAGCTGTAGAGACCAAAGGTAGATTTGCTTGGGTCTAAAGATTCAGGAGGGAGGCTTGTTGACCACAAAGGGACATGAGAGAACTTTACCTAGAGTATTGGTGCTATTCCATATCTTGACTGGCAATGGTTATGCAACAGGTACTGAGGGGAATGCATTTCCTTTGGTGCAAATTAGACCACAAAGTTTACTTTAAAAATATACATATATACTTTTTTTTTTTTTTCTGGTAGCAAGGTACGGGCTCTTTTAGACAGCATTTCTCAAAATGTGGCCCCTCTGCCTGAGAATCACCAAGAAAGCTGGTAGAAATCTCCCGTGAGGGCCCTGACCCACTGAATCAAAAACTCAGTGCTTGGGGGTGGTGAGTTCCATGTGCTTGACACAGGTGGCTGTTCCACAGACTAGCTGTCCAGAGCTGCTCCTCAGGGCTGCTGTCCCTGTCAGTGTCAGAGGCTGGTCTCCAAAGCTCCATGGAACGAGCCAGTGCTGGTGGCAGCCTTACTAGACGCGAATGTCAAACGACAGCACCTGACAGCGCCTGATGGGAAAGAGACTGGGAACATTACTCAGAGGAATTCCATGCAGACCAAGCTGCTGTGTGACTTTTCCAGATTGTTTCATAGGAAGGGAAAGACCTGCTCTGAAGGTGATGTGGAAACTTACTTGTGAGCTTGTGCCTCCATCATGGATTATTACAGGCTGGAGGGAAAGGCAGCAACAGAATTGTTTTTCTGAAGCAAGTAGTGCTCAAGATGACTGCACATCAGAATCTTGTGGATCTTTTTAAAAAATTCATCGCCCTGCCAAAACCAGTTTGGCTCAGCGGTAGAGCGTCGGTCTGCGGACTGAAAGGTCCCAGGTTTGATTCTGGTCAGGGGCATGTACGTTGGTTGCGGGCACATCCCCGGTAGGGGGTGTGCAAGAGGCAGCTGGTCTATGATTGTCTCTCATCGACGTTTCTAGCTCTCCATCTCTCCTTCTCTGTAAAAAAACCAATAAAATATATTAAAAAAAAAAAAATTTCATCGCCCTAACCAGTTTGGCTCAGTGGATAGAACATTGGCCTACGGACTGAAAGGTCCCAAGTTTGATTCCAGTCAAGGGCCATGTACTTAGGTTACGGGCACATCCCCAGTAAGAGGTATGCAGGAGACAGCTGATTGATGTTTCTCATCAATATTTCAATCCTCCCTCTCTAAAAAAATAAAGTTTTTAAAAATATAATTTTTTTTAATCAAAGTAGTACATGAATATGAGTTTTGTGTTATTTTTTTTAAATGAATGATTTTAAGTTATTACTAAATTTAGGATGTGTTTTTAAAAAATCAGTTCTACACGATGAAGTTCAAAGCTTTTGAACTGGAGCTCAGCTGGGTTGTTGAAATAACTAAAAGGAATTGTTCCAAAATATATAAGGGAAGATGTGGAGCAATATGCTAAGGACCTTGGGGTTTTTTGTTTGTTTTTTTTTAGAGGAAGAGGGAGATAGAAACATTGATATGGTGCCTTCTACACTCCCCCAAATGGGGATTGAGTCCAAAATGCAGGCATTTGCCCTGATCAGGAATAGAACTGGCACTTTTGTCTCCATATTTCTAAATAATAAGCTTACACTTTTGATTTCTTGGTTTGCCAACTTTGGACAGAAACTAGTAATGTCCTAATAAGCTCATTCTCTTACTCCCCTTCTTCACCAAGTGCAGCTAAGTATCTTTCAGATTCCCAGCCCTCAGCACCACTCCGGGCACCTGTGTCCTGGGATCCCCAAGCCCTGGTACTCTGCCCCGAACCTGGGAGGAACGCAAGGGCTCCTGATGTTGAACCGGTCTGATGCACCAGGCGCAGGATGTGTGCTGAGAAGGGCTTTGAAGTGAGTGGAAATCGAACATGGTATCAAGCCCTGGGGTTAATTTGCAGTTGGAATGAGAACCCAAGGTGCTCCTAAGACTTATTGCGTGTCAAGTGTGCTGTTTAGGACTCGCCATCTCTTGCTCCCGGATGGCCCATACATTCTGTACAAGCTACTGGTTTACATGGACCGACACAGGCTTCTCCCAGGAGGATGGAAAGTTGGTTTGTATCAAAAATTGTTGTGTGGAATGCTCGGCACAGAGATTAGACGCTGGTACAGCCTCCTGTTGGACCCCACGCTTTGCAGGAACTTCGCCTACCACGGTGGTCCTCTCCTCTGCATCGGCCCAGCCTTGGCCATCAGTGTGCAACCTCCCTCTTCCTCTCCGGGGGCCACCACTTCGCACTCGCTGACACGGGTTGTCAGCTGTGTGCCCCTCCGCCTGGAAATGGTATTTATAGCAAAGGATGTCACTGCTGACAAGCCCTCTGGCCACAAACCAGTGGAACACTCATTTCATGGCTTGATGTCCACTCCAGTGGGACTCACCTGTGATCACTAACCCTTGCCGCTCCTAGGCTGAAGGGTACATTGTGATTAGCAGGTAAGGGAGAGAATGGGTAATGACCATTTTCATAAGGGAGAGACCAAGGCTCAAATGCAACAACAACAAAAAATCTCAAGGTCTCTGAACAAGTCCTCTTGAGCAGGTGGAGGCGAAGATGGAAGATGGGCCACAGAAAGCCTTCCCCAGAGTGATCTTCGCTCAGGCAGGGCCCCCAGGCACCGAGCAGGGAGCAGCAGGAGCCTAGGTCCAGGGAACAGCCCCCCCCCCTGGGGGCAACTGTATGCCCCCACAGGGTTGGAACGGGCAGAATCCCAGTCACTTGGTCCCCTGGGCACAGACCCAGGGTCTTGAAGAGGCGCAGTCCAAAGCCACGAGCTTGCCTCCCTCCAGGCCTGCGCACTTCAGACCCAGCTGGTCCTTGTCTTCCTCCGGGAGCCTGGGGGAGGAGGGGAGGAACGGCACTCAGGGTGTCGCAGGCGCTCCGGTCTGCATACCCACTGGCCAGGCCCGGGGTCTGGAGAGCCCTGTGGCAGGAGGGAGGATGCCCCTGTCTGCACTCTGTGGCACCGGGTGAAGCAGTAAACCCGGGTTGCATATTCCTTATCTGTAGAACAGGGTGACAGTCCTGCTTGGGTGACTGCTGGGGGTCCAGACAAGGGTTGGGGTGGCAGGGACTGAACAAAACCAGGCCCTGAGCATTGGTATGGGGTCAACCGACAGGCACTCAGGCTGGGGTGGAGCAGGGGGACTGAGGTGTCTGCAGAGGGCGGAAGGCCTCCAGCCCCTCTTTGGCGCTTGCTGTGATGTTATTCTGGTCACATTGGGGAGCCCGTGCTAGTGCAATAGAGACAGAGCCCCCCTTCCCCCCTACCCCAGGCCCAAAGTCACTCACAGCTGGGGTGGCAGAGGGTCCCCGTCGATCCAGTGCCAGCCCTGGGGGCCTCGCCGGGCCCCCACCCAGGAGTACTTGGTGACAGGGTACCTGCCCAGGAAGTCCTGAGGGAGAGAAGCCGCTGGTCACTCTTCTCTGGGTGCTGGCTCGTCTCACCTGGGCTTTTGTAAGTTCCCAGCTCGCCAGGCCAGAGAAGCAACTCTGCTCAACCCAACGTGCCCAACACCAGGAATCAGGAAGCTGGGTGGGATGCCTGCTGGTTGCCAGGTGCTGCACTCAGGATGGGGCCCAGAAATGGGGGCGATCCCATCTCGGCCCTCAAGGAGAGGGGACGTGAATGTCAATCCCTTCTGAGCAACGAGGAGTGGACAGAGGACCAAAGAGGCTCCGAGAAGAGGCGGGGAAAGGCATGAGCAGAGCGGGGCGGCTGCACAGCACGTCCAGGGAACAAGCAGCCTCACTAGGAAGGGGGTGAGTGATGGGGTGGACCAGGCTGCAGGGGCCTCCTGGGAGCTGATGGTCAGCAACAGTTGCCAGCAGGAGCACCAGTGACGTTGTGTCAGTTCAGGGTGAGAGAATTAAGACCATTAAAAAACATGAAGCTCTCCAGGGGAGCACTACAGGGGAAGGTGTAGCACGGGGCTGTAGTATGTGAAGAGTCCCAGAAAGTGTAATGACACACACACCCCTCCACTACCCTCCCTCCCTGCTTACCTGGGTGTGGGTCAGCAGGGGGAGGGTGGCACGGTGGGCGGAGCAGAAAGCCTGGCTGGCCTCCCAGGCTTGAGCTTCAGTGGAGAGGTAGTAGCAGTGCTCCCCGGACCACAGCCAGCCACGGGGACACGGCCGGCACCTGGCCCCTGAAAGCAGAGGCCACAGGTGAGCCGCGGGGTAAACTGTACCGAGCCGAGTGCATGCTTCTTAAAAATTAAATTAAAACCTGGTCACCGCTGTGACCGAGGGGCTGGCAGGGACCACGGAAGCTGTACAGTGTTTGCAGGTTACAAAGCCCCCCAGGCAGGGGCTCACCCCCAATTGCTTGCCAAAGCACAGCTGGGAGGAGGCACCATACCTGTTCTAGAGGCCAGGGCCACAACGGCGACCGTGGACACCGCCAGCAGCACAGCCATGACCACCAGGGCCCAGCGCAGGGACTTCATGTACATGGGCAGCCCTGGGCAGCGGGGGAGACAACCGGGTTAGGACCACTGATGTATACCCCAGCTTCACACCCACAGGAGCACCCACTCCCCCGGCCCAGACACCAGGATAAGCCACTCATTTGGGTTAGAACATCCTGTCTGGGAGAAAAGTGCTAGATGTTTACTTCTTAAGTAAGATTCTACTCAAGAAAGAGAACAGGCCCTGGCCAGGGTGGCTCAGTTGGTTAGAGCGTTGTCCCGATAGACTAAGGCCAAGTTCAATCCCTGGTCAGGGTACAGACAGGAGTCAACCAATAGATGCATAAATAAGTGGAACAACAAACTGATGTTTCTCGCTCTCTCCCTTCCTAGCTCTCAAAAACCAATAAACATTTTTTAAAAAAGAGGACAAATACTTGGCTAACAAGCACTTACTGTGCAGCTAATGTGCCCTAGACACAGGCTATAAATTCACCAAGAACACAGGGCAAGGCCCCTGCACTCTAGCAGCTAATAGAATGGGCAAAGGTACCAGGAGATAAAATTACAAATGAGAGAGGAAGGAAGGCTAGATTTGGAGCTTGACAGATCTGGGTTCAAGTTCTGACTCAAGAGTTCTTGGTTTTCCAGTGTTCACACTGACGTCACACCTGCCTCTTTTATCTGTCCAGGTCTGGAGGCCACCAAGGAAGCCTCATGGGTCCAGAGAGCACGCTGCAGGCTGCAGAGCACTAGGCAAGTGTGAGCTGTCAGCAGCTCAAGGCCCCAGGGGGAATGGCTGGAATGAGCTTGCAGAGAGGAAAGGAACTCCGGAGAAGGTGGGTGGGAGGGGGCAAGGGGGAGGACAGGACCTAGCCACATCATGGATGACCTTAAAAACACTATGCACTATGCTAAGTGAAAGAAGCCAGACACAAAAGGACATGTACAATATTATAGGCAAACCCATCAAGACAGAAAGTAGACTAGTGGCCACCTGGGGCTGGGGGCTGGCTGTTAGCTAGTTGCTAGAAGATACAGACAGCACTTCTTTTGCGAGCAATGAAAGCATTATAAAATTGACTGGTGTTGATCACACAACTCTGTGCACATACTAAAAACCATTGAATTGTATGCTTTAAATGGGTGAACTGTTATGCAAATCATAGCTCAGGAAGGTGTTACCCAAATAAGCAATTTAAAAACGCTTGGAATAAAAGATACATAAATTGACAGTCTTAAAATAACGAAAGCAGAACTAAAAAAGTCTGGAGAAGGAAAGGAAAATAAACCTGTCAACCACCTCAGTAAATATAAACATTGTGACGGAACAGCAAATTCAGCTTCAACCTCTCAGAAAGCAGAGCAGTAAGAAAACACAGTAAGTTACTAAAGTCTCAGGCACCTTCCACACTCAGGGCTGCAATGCAGACCTAGGAAACGCACCCCCCCCCCCCCCCCCCCCAGCCATTGGTCTCCCAAACTTCCAGGCAAAGAAAAAGTCCTACACACCCCCTTTAGAAAGCAATTCCCCCCCCCCCCAGCCCCCCGCAAATGTTTCTACTGACTTTTAGAGAGAGAGGAAGGGAGAGGGATACAGAGAAACATCATCCATCGGCGGCCTCCTGTACGCCCCCTCCTGGGTGGGGATGGAACCCGCACGCAGGCATGTGCCTGGACCTGGAATATGGACGATGACCTCTTGTTTCCTGGGTTGAGGCTCAAATGCTGATTTACACCGGCCGGGCTAGAAAGCAATTCTTTTTTCTTTTTCTTTCTTTCTTTCTTTCTTTTTTTAAATATATTTTATTGATTTCTTTACAGAGAGGAAGGGAGAGGGATAGAGAGCCAGAAACATCGATGAGAGAGAAACATCCACCAGCTGCCTCCTGCACATCCCCTACTGGGAATGTGCCCGCAACCAAGGTCCATGCCCTTGACCGGAATCGAACCTGGGACTCTTAAGTCTGCAGGCCGACACTCGATCCACTGAGCCAAACCGGTCAGGGCTAAAAAGCAATTCTTAATCACACAAGTAACAAATACATTCTCCTTGTAAAAAAAAAAAATGAAAAGAAAAGAAAATACAGCCTGGCTGGTGTGGCTCAGGGGTTGAGCGTTGACCCGTGAAGTAGGAGGTCACTGGTTGATTCCAGTCAGGGCACAGGCCTGGGTTTCCCAGATCGATCCCAGGAGGAGCATCGATCCCAGGAGGAGCGTGCAAGAGGCAGCTGATCAATGATGTTTCTCTTTCATCGAAGTTTCTATCTCTATCCTTCTCCTTTCCTCTCTCTCAAAATAAATGAATAAAATAAAAAGTATTTAAAAAAGAAAATACAGATGAAACTACCCCCTTTCCCCTCAAAACAAACAAACAAACAAACAAACTCTCCTACTTATCTTTCCAAGCTCCAGGAAGCTTTCCCAGGGTCCAAATTCATCAGCCACTCCCTCCTGGTTCCCTGTCCAGGATTGCTTACATCTTTTCCAGGATTTTTCTCATTCCCTCCCAATCGCCTCCCTGCCCGCCCCTCACAGAGCCGCACACACGCCCGCACAGGCTGGCTGGAGGGGGTGAGGGCGCCGGAGGGGCTGGGACGGACGCTCCTCGGTAAACGGTGGGCGGAGAGAACCTGAGCCTGCGGGGCCGGGGAGGGCGGCCCGGGGCCGGGGGTCGAGGACCTGCGCTCCCGCCGGGGCCGCCGCCGCTACGTGACCCTGAGGCTTCCCCTCCCCTGGACTCCCTCCCCCCGGGCGGCTCGAAGATGCTGCGCTTACTGAGCGGGAATGTACAAGTTGTCCAGAGAACGCAAGAGGGAATAGTGGTTTTATGCTTTCATTGAAAACCACCTGAATTATAATTACGTAGTCCAGAATGGTATTAGTTCCAAGCCAGGCCGGACATCGGGAAGGCCGCCCGGGTCCCCCAGTCCCTCCGGAGCGAGCCCAGGGCGGGGCGGGTGTCGGGGCGCGGGTACCTATGAGCCTGATGGCCCGGTGCAGCTTCAGGTCGCCGTCCGGCTCGGTGCGCTGCAGCATCGCGGCGTCCTCCCTGCCCGGCTCCTGGCAGCGGCAGCGGCACGCGGGGGCGCCCGGGGCCGCCGCTCCCTCTTCCGCGGCGAGGCCGTGCTCCGCCCGGGGGGCCGCCAGCGGCGAGCCGCGGCTCCACGCGCTGCCCAGGGACGCGGTGCGCGGCAGCAGCGGGCCCGCGGGCGCGGCGTGGCGGGGGGAGGCGGGCGGCTCGGGCACCGGGACGGTGATGAAGCGCCGCGAGGGCGCGGGCGAGGGCGCGTGGCTGCCGCCGGCCGCGCCCACGGGCTTCACGAGCACGTCCACCTGCAGCTCCACGGGCGCCCAGCTGCCGGGCCCCGGCTCCTCTGGCGCCGCCCTGGGCACCAGCTCGGTCCCCGCCGCCTCGCCATCCCGGGGCTGCTCGGCCGCCGCGGGGCCCGGCGACGGCGGCTCGGGGGCCGCGGACAGCGGGCGGCGGAAGGCGCCGTAGCCGAGGCCGGCGGGCAGCAGCCGCAGGCGCGCGGGGCGAGGCGAGGGCAGCTTCTGTCCGCCCGAGGGGTCGGGGTCCGGGTCCGGGTCCGGGTCCGGGTCCGGGTCCGGGCCGGGCGCCTCCTGCGCGGCCGCGGCCGGGCTGCTCTCGGGGCTTCCTAGGCGCCGCTCCTCTACGGGGGCCTGCGGCTGCACCGGGTTTTCCAAGGGCTCCATGGGCATCGCGGCCCCGGCTCGGCCTCCTCTGGGTGCCGCCTGGGCCCCCTCCATCCGGGCGCGAAGCCACCGAGTGACGACCGGCGGCGCTCACCTGCGCCCAGGTAGCGTGTCGGGTTCGCCTCTCCGTGGTCCCGCCCTCCCGCCGAGCTCCCGTCGGGGATTGGCTGTACCTGGGGTTGGCCACGCCCTCCCAGGCACCAGCCCTTCTTGCACGGGCCCCCGGGAATGAGAGGGGCGGGAGGCCTGGGCGGGAGGTTTTCCGGGGAAAGGTCCGCGAGCAGACTTTAGGGGAGAACCCAGAGCCCCGCCTGACTCTTCCCTCTCCTTTGTCCCGAGTCCCACCCACTTCCTCTCCCACCCCGGCCCGCAGCCTTCGGCGGATCTGGAAAGTTACAACTTGGGCTAGGAGGGGTTGGTCAAGTCTGATCCTCAGACCTCAGAAAAACAAGGGGCTCCGAAAGAAATGGGGTGAAAGAACAAGAATAAAGAAAAAGAAAGAAATGGGGCGGCCTGCGGAAAAGTAGCCGAGCGGGTTGTCCCGACAATGCAGTGAGAGAAGGGGCGCCTCACCCGAGAGGATCTCCCCGACCCCTTCCCGCACAAGGTCCAGGGTCAGCTCCTCTGGAGGCCTGGGCTCCTGCTGGCCGGGACTGAGGAATGAAAATGTGTCTTCTCATGGTGACAGGCGCTGGTCCTCCGCCAGCCCGGTGTGCTGGAGTACAGGTTTCCCAACCCCGCGGGTGAGCTGAAGGCCATCAACAAAATAATAACGAATTCCTGGCTGGGCTCCACCCAGTCCTACTGAATCTCACAAGTGGATGAGGTCAGTGATATTTTTATCAAGAGCCCCAGGGTAGGATTGGCAGATAAAATGCCAGCCAATCTGTTAAATCTGAATTTCAGATAAACAAGAGGGTGTGTGTATTTATAAGTATGTCCTAAGTGTTGTGTGGGATATACTTATATTTTAAAATTGTTATCTAGAATGTAACCTGCCTCCTATATTCTTATTTGCTAACTCTGGCAACCTTGCCCGGGGAACCTCTGGAGAGGCATGAATCAGATTCCCCCTGGGAACCCTCAGGAAGAACCAATCCTGCTGACAACCTTGACCTTGGACTTCCAGCCTCCAGAACTGTGGGGAAGCACATTTCTGGCTTTTAAGACATTCGTTTGTTATGGGAGCCCCAGGGAACCGGTACAAGTCACCTGTGCAGAGGGCGGCCTGCCCTGGGACTTCCCTCCCGGCTCAGGCGGTCTCTGCACCCCCGCCCTTCACCGGCGCTGGCTCCGCTGTGCCGTGCAGGTCTCCCTCAGGAGGATTTGGCACTTGCTCTGAGTGAGCCACCCAAAGGTGGGAGTTGTCACAAGGCTCAGTAGGACGGCTCTCCGTAGAGGAGGCCCACAGACTGTCCCCAGGGCCCTGGAGCCTCTCTACTTTCAGCCCTTCCTAAAGATTGCTTGGTTAGCCCTTTTCGGCATGGCGTGGCTTGGTTGGTTGGGTATCCTCTGGTGCATTCAGAAGTCATGGGTTCCATTCCTGGTCAGGGCACGTGCCTGAGTTAGAGGGCCTGCAGGAGGCAGCAGATCACATCATTTTTTTTTTTTTTTTTTCCTCTCTTTCTCCCTTTCCTCCTGGTCTAAAAAAAAAAAAAAAAAAAGATTGCTTGTTCAATTCTGGATTTCTAGGACCATACCCTCTTTACCTTATTTATTTGTTTTTTATTAATAATCACTGGAGGATATTTTTCCGTTGATTTTTAGAGAGTGGAAGGAAGGAAGGGACACACACACAGAGAGAGAGAGAGAGAGAGAGAGAGAGAGAGAGAAACATTGATTGGTTGACTCCCACATGATGCAGGGGATCAAACCTGCAGCCCATATTTGAGCCATTGACTGGAAATCAAGCCTGTAATCCTCCATGTGTGGCTGGTGCTCTAACCATTGAGAACACTGGCCAGGGCTTCTTTATTTATTGAGTTGAGAGAGAGAGACAGAGATACTGATTTCTTCTTTCACTTATTTAGCATTCATTGGTTTATTCTTGTTTGGGTTCTGACGGGAGATCTATCCTGCAACCTTGGCATATTGGGATGATGCTCTAGCCACTGAGCTACCGGGGCAGGCTTTTCTGCTTTAAGTCAGCATAACATTCACCACCCTGATTGCCAGTGGAAAAACCCCAAGTCCGGCCACCACTGCGGTGGGCCCCCTGGGGCTCTCAGGGTGAGCAGCAGGCTGTGGAGCAGTCTCTGTCGTGCCTTCCCCGGCATCACAGCTTCCCAGGCCATTGACAGCGTCCGTGGTGGTGAGCCCTCCCAGGTGTCAGGGGGGTCGGACCCTGGGGAGCCAAGAAGAGCAGGTAAGCACTGCGGTTCCTTCTTCCATCCTCCTCTCTCACTTTAAAGCCCCTTCCCCACCACCACAGCAATACCTGCCTGCGTTCAACATGTAAAGATGACAGAAGCGCACACTGTGGAAAGAGAAGGGCCCCAGGATTTCATGCCCCAGGGCTCTCCTTCGCTAAGGTTTCGGTGTTCACTCTCCTGGCCCCTTTTCCATGCAGACCCTGAACTATATTGTTATGACAGGCGTATGTTTTTTATTTCCAATACTTCCCTCATGAGGACCTGTAACCTAGACCTAGCTTATGTGAGCTGTCTCCCTCTGGTGCACATTCGAGCTGTTTCCATTGGTGACATAATTGCTGCAATGCTGCAAATGCCATAGTCATAATTCAGTGACCATCCTCGCACATTTAAAAGAAAAAATCACATCTCTGATGCTATTTTCAGAACAGATTAATTAAAATGGAACCGCTCAGCCGAAGGGTGCTCTGACAGACAATGCCGCAATGACCCCATTACTCACAAGAGAGCAGGCTGCTCCCCACAGCCTCACCAGCACGTGAAATGATCGATCTCTTCTTGATCTTGACCAATCTGCTGGGTGAACACATGACATTTCAGCTTGCATTTTCTAATTATAAATGAGGTTGACGTTCTTTTCGTCTGTTACCTGTGTGATAAGAAGGGTCTTTGCCAGTCTCGGGGCTGAGTGCAGGGCCCCGGGGCCTCCTCCAGGGCACCGGCTGGTTCCAGGAAGTGGCTCGGTAGGAACCAGGGTTCACTGGTTCAGGGAGGTGATGGTATCTGGCATCTAAACAGACCGGAGCGTTCTAAGAGCATAAACTACACCACGGCTGGCTGCTCCAAAGCGGAGACAAACATGCCACCCCCGGCGTTTGGAACCTTCGAGGGCCCCTGGGCACAGATAACGAGGAGGGCGGGGGGTTTCTGCATGGCCAGCTCCCTGGCATGGTCAGCCCATCCTCACATTCCAGCTGCTCAGAGGCTCAGGGCCACCCAGGCCAGGATGACACTCCCACCCCCAGCTCCCCGCCCCTCACCTGGACTTCACAGCACTCAGCACTGCTTTCAGCCACCTGTGCACATGTGTGCCTTGTTATTTCATGTTTGTCTCTGGCCTCCAGGAGTCATTACCGTAGCTCTAGAACAGAATGGCACCTGACATGCCCATCCCTGGTTCTCGGCTGGTCACCCCCGTGGCTCAGTGAATATTTGTGAAATGAAAACTGCTGAGCAGGGCACTGTGGGGGTGCTTGACATACCTTGTCTTTATCATTTCTCTCCCTCAATTTTTATCTGACAGAGATTAAGCATTAAGAAAAATGGAAGGAGTCCTAGCCAGTTTGGCTCAATGGATAGAGCATTGGCCCTCAGACTGAAGGGCCCTGGGTTTGATTCCAGTCAAGGGCCATACATCGATTGCAGGCTTGATCCCTGTCCCTGGTCTGGGTTCATGAGGGAGGCAACCAATCGATGTGTCTCTCTCACATCAGTGTTTCTCTCTCTCTGTCTCTCCCCTTCCCTTCCACTCTCTGTAAAAATCAATGGAAGAAAGAAAAATTAAAAGAATAAAAACACTTGAATACCCTCCAATCAGCAGTTAGCATTTCACCATATTTGCTTTGTCTTTATCTTCATGCAAACATACTTTTGTGGTTATTTCCATGAAACACTTGCATGGACTGCAGACTTGGAGAAATTTCACCCTTAAATACTCAGCATGTATGTTCTATGATTACACGTATCTACCCAAGTACAGTGTCATTCTCACACCAAGGAATGAGCAATTAGTCCATGCTGGATAATATATAGAAGTCATATTTAAATTTCCCCAATTTTTTTCAAACCAGGATCTAATCAAGTCCGTACATTGCATTTGGGTTGTTATGTCCATTTCCTCTTCCTACTAACTGTGAGGAAAGCATGGAAATGCCTACTTTACAGGTGAGGAAAGTGAGAGGGAGGTGGAGTAACCTGCCAGATCATGTGACTCCAAGATGGGAAAGTCAAGATGCCTTCATGTGTCTCTGACTCCCAAACATGTCTCTTCTCCCTCTGTCCTGCCCCTACATTTTGGTTCCCTCGAGGTTTCATTTCCAGATTCTGGCTTGTCTGGTCCATGCAAGTCATGGGCTGGGGCCAAGGTGGAGGTGCCAACCCAGTTACCTCGCCAACTGGGCTTCACTTTCAAGTCCCTCCAGCCACACCCCCCTCCCACTGCCCCAGGGATTGAGAAAACATTCCACCTGGATATGTGCGTGCTCACCCCAGGAGACTGAAGGGAGAGCCCTCACAGGGCGGAAAAACACCTCCCTGAGTCATCAGCAGCTCGCTCTCCGCAAGTCACAACACAGACCCTCCCTCGCCGGGAGCTCCGCCCCTAGAATTCATCGGCCTTGCGCTAGGACTGTGAGCGTAACTAACGTGTGTGAGCAGACAGCCTGACCCACGCAGTAACACGTGGCTGTCCTCAGCTTCCTGTGTATGATTGTTTTATGAGTCTAGGCTTTTAAAAACGAAACACTCAACTCGCCCCTGGGTTTAGGAACACTTCAGTTTTCAGGACAAAAGGTCCAATTGTCCTCTAACGAGGAAGAAGCAGAAAATAACTTTTTTTTTTTTTGTAATGAATTTATAGGAAAAAAAGATGGCTATCTATTTTTTTTTTCACTTGTTTCTATATTTATTTATTTATTTATTTATTTATTTTCAATTCCAGTTGATATTCAATATTATTTTATATTAGTTTCAGGAGT